TTCCTTATAATACCAAGCCCCATTTTTATTGCCATTGATTATAGCTGTCGGAGCTCAAGTTTGCTCCTAAATTCTTATTTTAGGATCAATAACAAAATAATTACATCAAATTTATAGAGAGAAGTTAAAGAGAACAGGCTGAGGAAGAGAACACTGTTATTTGTAACACACTGCATGAATGTGGGAAATACCATAGATAGATATAGAACCTACAAATCTAACACATCTAACAAAATTTTATTTATTCATGGCAAATTTGAGTCTGACGTCTTTCTTTATTGTGGAAGAAGCCTCAATCTTACAGATGAACTAATATTAGCAACAGTGGGAGAACTTCAAACAGTAAAATTGATTACAAATGAAGGTTAATTTTAGTTTTAATTAAAAAGCTACTGAACAAGGCATGATATCCCTTCAGACATTGGAAAGCTAGCACTTACAAAAGGAATAATTACATTCTGCAAATGCAGCCAATCTAAAATAGAAATCATTTTTACACAAACCTGGTATTTTCCAGAATAAATCTATGTAAAATACATTATACATGTTAAAGAAAAGCAACTTTAATTTGTGTGCCTTTATATTCTAATATTGGAAAATGTTCTATCCTTGTTTACACCATCTGCCATAGTTTCCAGGGAACATTTCAATATGGCCTAAAAATTTATAATCTGACCTGTTGCAATTGGATTACTCTTTGGTGGTTGGTTTTTTTTTTTTTTGATGGGGGAGAGGGGTTTTTCTCTCTCTCTCTCTTTTTCTTTTTTATTATATTTTTATGGCTGAACCTGGAAAAAATTTTATGCGATTCATTTCTATTTTAGATATTAACTTTTTTTGAGTTTTATGAGTTTTTTGAAATTTTGTAAGATCTTCATAAAACTGTGCAATATAAAGCATGTTTGGGTGCAATTTCAAGAGAACTTGACACTGAATTCATGTTTGTATTGGTCAGTGAAAAAGATAAATTAGCTAAAGGTCAAAAGGGTAAAAAAAAAATGTATTATGGATAACATTTGCACACAGTTTAGGCCATAATGTCATAAAAGAGCATCTCAGTAAAAGATTTCTATGTGGATGAAACAGAATGAAAACCAAAAAGGCTTATTTTATATATATATGAATTTTGTTCATATAAATGACCACTACAATGTACTGGTAAGTATTAGAATATGTCTATCATTTTGCAGAAACTTCCATATGTGATGAATTAAAATTTCTACTCTGAGGAAATATACTAACAAACTGCATAAACAGGACATTACCCTAGAGTGTTCCCTCCAAGTGAGGAGGAAGACAAGTCTACTACAGTCCCTGAAACGTTCTACTTTCCCACCTGAACGGTGAGCGAACGCTGAACGAACGGTGAACGAACGCTGAGCGAACGCAGAGCGAACGGTGAGTGAACGATATGTGAACGCTGAACGCAACTTGGTGAACGATGTGTGAACGGTGAACGGTGAGCGAACGCAGAACGCGAACGGAGCGCAAACGCGAACGCAAAGTGAACGGTGAACGAACGGTGAACGCAAGATGAACGATATATTCGGAATGCCTCTGATCTTTTCCTTGCATTGAAACTATTTTATTGTTTTATAATATCAGGTGCCAAAAAAAAAAAAAAAATCAATCAATAATAAATAAGTAAACCAATAAATGAATGAATAAATAAGTCAATAAAATAAATTCTCCAAAATTGTCCTGAGAAAGACGATGCATGCACATTAAGTTTTTAATCACACGATTTTTATCGCATTAAAACATTGCAATTGTTGCCGAACGCTGAAGTATAAGAGATATTTTTTTTTTAGTTGGAAAATAAAAATGTTTATTCTTATTTGATAACAAATCAGAGAAAACTTCTGACTTATAGAATGAATTAAAGTGGTTGTAACATCCATTCATATATCTCCGTGTTAAAGCGATTTCGTGTAAAGTAATGAAAAAAAAAAATTAATAACAAAGGTCAGTGGACGTTTTGCATTTATACGGTCGTATTTTAAATTATTAATACAATAATATATTATGTGTCATTTCTATTTTTCAAAATGATTTATTCAGGGCCGTAGGAAGCAAATTCGTTTTTTTTGGGGGGGGGGGGGGGGGGGGGGGGGCACAGCCATACATTTTCAGTTGATAGTTGAGGGGGCACTACCAAAAATTTCCTGACAAGCAGAAAAAAAAAGGTCATCAGACTTTTTATTGTGGGGGGCACAAGCATATAGTCTATGTTTACTATAATAATCTATATATCGGCAAATTATTGGGGAGGGGGGCACGGCCCCCCTTGCCCCCCCCCCTCGGTTCCTACGGCCATGTTTATTGAGCAGACTTCTACATTTATCTGTAGATGGCCGTGATTATACTCGGACAAGTAATAATTATTTATTAAAAAATATCATATATGGTAATACTAAAACATCACGTTTTCGTATTACCGTATATGATTTTTTTTAAAATAAATAATTATTACACGCCGGGAGCAAGCCCCTGTGCAATACTGAATAAGTAACCGATTTAGGGGGAAAAGGGGGGAGGGGTATTAATCATATCGAATGGCAAACATATAAAGTTACGGTGAAGAAAGATTTTTTTCTCTATAACTATAGACTTTACATATTATAGCAGAAAAAATTCTGTAGTGCATTACATTTAAAATAAATATTTCCTTTAACCACACTATCAATTTAATTCGCTCCAAAGATAATAAATTAACACGATATCCGCAGTACTATGTATAACTCTCAGAACTAGTTCTATCATATTTTCTGTAGTAATTGAAAAAAAAAGTGTTAGAAATAAATATTTTCATAATTTTGCTGCGTAATTATTTGACTTGGATAATTATATCTCCATTAACGATTTGTCGTCTTTAACAAAACAACAAAATGTTGCAGTGTTTGAAGTATTTGCACATTGCCCTTAGTTTAATTTAATATTTCAGCATCGCTCTACATAGGTACAGAATGTGCTTATAACAACATTTATTTTCCAGAGTAATTTAATAAATAACCTAACAGCTAAGTTAGAATAATAAAAATATATATCGTTGATATTTTTCCCCATGAAATAATGATTCTTCAAACACGATATGTTAGTTATTAAATTAAAAAACCTGTAACTCCTAACCTACAAAAAGATAAGTCCTTTCACATCGGAGTTCCGAATGACAATGAAAACTGAACGATAGGTGAACGCTGAACGCAAGGTGAACGCAAAGTGAAAGGAACGAAGAGCGAACGCTGAACGCTTTGTGAACGGTGAACGCGAGCGCACGGTGAATGGTGAACGCAAAACTGTGAACGGAGAGCGAACGGTGAACGCACGGTGAACGAACGGTGAACGCACGCTGAACAAACGGTGAACGAACAGTGAGCGAACGGAAAAATGGGAAAGTAGAACGTTTCAGGGACTGTATCATAACTTTGTCCTTAAGGAGATATGCCACACCAAAAGTTTATTTATGTTTAAAGTATCTCTTCTGACATATTTCTGCATTAATAGACCAATATAAGCTCTTGATTATTTTACATGATTTTTTTTTTTTTTTTTTGTACTTTTGTTAGAGAAAATGGAAAAACTGTTTTTAGTTGCAAATAAGATGTTTTGGGGCTTAAAATTTGCTCTAAATTATTGCATAATATTAATATTCAATGAATTAAATCAAGAAAGGTCAGGTGGACATTTCAGTTTTTTTTTAAATAAAAATTATTTATGAATATGAAAAATTAAACAATATTTGTTAATATATTTTTTAAATCTACAGATAAAATCTTCATAAAGAATTTTACAAATAGAAAATAAATATTAGAAAATTACAAATTACAAACTACAATACTTTATTAGAAATTTGAAAGATTTTTTTTTTTATTTTGCAGTAATTCTTTATTGTGATCAATTTTATTTCAATCTTGTTTGGTGCAAATAATATAATTAATTTTTCTTAAATTTTATATTTCATTCAATATACTTCAAGATACTTTTTACATCCATAAAATAATTTTTTGGTGTGGCATATCTCCTTAATCAACTTTCACATATGACTAGCATCATGGACCTTTTTTATGTCACACAATATTGAAAAATGACCAATCCAAAGACAGACAGACAAATGGAACAGTTACAGTGCTAATAAGAGAGAAAGACAAAATGGAACAGCTATCGTGCTAATCTCAAAGACAGACAAAATGGAACAGCTATAGTGCTAATTTCAGAGACAGAGAAAGACAATATTCTGCTACAGTACTAATCTTGAGAAAGACAAAATGAAACAACTACAGAACTTATCTCAAACACATAGACAAAATGGAACAGCCAAAGTACTAATCTCAGAGACAGACAGACAAATGGAACAACTACAATACTTATCCCAGAAACAAACAGTCACAATGAAACAGCCATAGTACTTATCTTAAAGACAGAGACAAATGGAACAGCTACAGAACTTATCTCAGAACAGAGAAAGACAGACAAATGGAACAGCTACAGAACTTATCCCAGAACAGAGAAAGACAGACAAATGGAACAGCTACAGAACTTATCTCAGAGATAGAGACAGACAAAAGGAATGACTAAAGTACTAATATTAAGAGAAAGATAAAATGGAACACTTGCAGTGCTTAACTCAGGGACAGACCAAATGGAATAGCTACAGTACTAATTTCAGAAAAAGAGACAGACAAACAAAATGGAACAGGTACAATACTAATCTTAGAGACAGACAGACAAAATGGAACAGGTACAGTCAGACAATAGAAAAGCTACAGTACAAATCTCAGAGATATTGTTCATCTGTCCTTGTGTCTCACAGCATTGAGCTTCAGTGTTATCTGTGTTGTTAGTGACCAGTCAATTTATAGACAGATAAGCTACACAGTGATTACTGAAACCACGGCTCTCAATGGAGGACATTTCCAGAATCTTAACCTTACAGGAGAAGGTTCTTATTGTACATCATGCCTGTGCTTACCTCCATTGTCAAAAAGCAGTAGTTTACTTACATTTTGACCCCTGGGGGAGGGTCCCACACACACTCTCCGGTGGTCAAGTTGGCATACATATGCTCCTTGCTGCGGGGCTCGATAATCTCCACCCATTCCCATCTACAAAATAACAACAGATAATTACTCTACCACATGTACATAAAAAAGACAGTCATTCTCATAAAATTCTGTGTACGATGCATATGTATATCAAGATTCTCACCAATTTATGGTGTAAATCATGCTAAACTTTAAAATTAGGCACTGTAAACAAAAAACTTAATGGCTTAAAGTAGCCGAGCAAATGCTGACAGAATTATTATATTAGGTATAAAATAATTACCTCCAGGTTGTAATATAAAGATTTATTTCTTTATAAATATGGTATTAATTAAATTATGAGTCATTTTGTAGCACTATTCAACTGTGAGATTTCACCAAAAGTGCTGCCTGACTTCAATTCAATTTACATACTGCAAGATCAGCTGTTTACTGTATGATAAATGCATGGCATTACATGTGCTTAGGAATAAATATAATAAAAAAAAATATCAATGTCTTATTTAATAAATATAGTTGTAGTATATGGACAATATAATTGCTGGAATGGGTTGGGGATTAGTCAACATCATTAGGCACATGGCACTTCCTATGATGAATACATATGTACTAATGTTCTGGCCAAGAATACACACATTCCCGTGTTGTATTCCCAGACAATGGAGACTAGTTAGTCATTATACAGACAGTATGACAGATTAGTGTACATACATACACACACAGAGAAGGTCTGCCCCGATCAACTGTAATCTTTTACCTTTAAACCTTTTCTTCTTCGTCTACCTGTCGAGGTTAATAATCGCCACTAAAGCTAATTATTCTATCTCCAACTAAAACCAGTCCTATCTATTTATATCTTTAAAATCAAAACATTTACTACTATTCAACGACAACCCCTCCCCCTTCCATCCCTGCTATTTCCCACCCTTTACCCTACCCTCAATATTGCCAAACTGCATTACCCGTAAGTCCTGTTGCAGTAAAAATGGTATGTTATCTCCAACTCCATATTTAACAGTCAGGATACGGTCACATTTTACAGAGGGTAACTCATACACACTTCAATCTCAGGAAGTCCCTGGCCGTCCGCCAACTTGTACTTTCCTTTTTAGCACTCAGCATGAACAACCTTGTTACCAATCGGAAAATCATTATTAAATCGGTGTGCTTAACATTTCATACACAAAGTCAGGTTTCATCCTTGTAATCTAAGACACCTGTCGATATCAGGTTAAATAAAAATCATACATTCCCTCCATCTCATATAAACTCAATCAATATTTCACAGCCTGGTCCTGTTACTGAATGAAACACACCCCCCTCTTGAGTAAATTTCTTCCTATGACAGAGGCCACAGAGAATAAACAATTGATTGTCTGGTAATATTTCACTGTGCAGGCTATCACCTTGTATTGGTGACAACCATAATCAATGCATGTGTAGCATATTTTATCACTCCTATTCTATCATTATGACCTCAGTATTAATTAATTCTCCCTTCGCTTTTGTCTTCCGTGTCTGTAATCCTCTGGAATTCCACTCAATCTAGAACCCATTTTTTGACACATCTTTTGAATAATAATTTTTCAGTGTCTGATATAATTTAGACTTTAAAATGGTACTTCCTTCTGTGATGTAAAATCACTTTTTCTGTCTATGAGTCATATATATTACAGTTTGCAATAAAACACAAACAAAAAAAACCTTGTATACCATATACAAAAAACGTACTTGCTTACAGCTCAATATCCACTGCTTGATATGTCACACGATAGACCCCTATTATAATCAATCTCATTCAGGCACCCTCAGAAACTTCAAACTGCCAAAAATACTGTGCATTTGTAGTGGCTATTGAAAAGCCTCTTCAGAAGGTGTTTAGAGTTACCAATGACTACTTTAGGTAATGCGATTCATCACATCATAGGTTGATCTTTGAGCCAAACACAGAACACAAATCATTATCCTGATAATTATGACCAAGAAATTAAATCTTAAGAGCAGCTGTCAACCATTCACTTTTTTTTTAGCTGAATATGTCAAATATTTCTACAAACAGCTTTTCTTGGAATATTATATCATAAAAATAAGGTTCCGTGATTTGTCATTAAAAATAAGGAAAAAGTCATTCTGATGTTTAATGATTAGTAAAAGATATTACTCATGCAAGAACTAGAGAGATTTTTTTTATAACTAAGCATTTTTTTTAAAAAATTGGAATTCAAATTACAAAATATAATAGTTTTACATAAGATAGAGAGTGCCGTTATTTTCAAAGTTTTACATTCCTTTACTTAACAATACCAATAGCTTGTTATATCAAATGACAGGCCTCTGTTTCAGGCCTGCTTAGAAACTTCAAACTGCAAAAGAATGTTGTGGATTTGTCATGGTTATTTTCACAGCAGCTTAATAGAGCTATGAAAATAGGGACATTAATTGACATAATGATTAATAATAATTTGGGATTGGGTAAGGGGGAAGGGGATCATGAAATCAAAAAGGAGTTAGAAAGATTTTAGCTAGCATGTAAATAGTCATGTCTTGGAAAATCAAAGGTTTACCTAAAGTAAGAACTGATACTACCACTTGTTCTTATGTATATCAAACTCTTTTTTTAAAAAATGGTAATAACCAGAATTTGAATTCAAAAAGAACAAGTTTGTATTCAAACAGAACAAAAAATAAATAAATAAATAAACAAGAGGCCCAGGGGCCACATCGCTCACCTGAGCACTATGGCTAGGAAAAAGCAGAAATCACTTCAATCTTGAAAGGTTGAAAAGTTTAAATATAAAAGTGGTTGGGGGGGGGGGGGGGGGGGGGGTGTCAGGAATTGAACAAATTTGAATCTACATTATCTGAGGATGCTTCCATTTAAATATGACCAATCATGGCTTTGCTGTTCTTGAGTAGAAGATTTTTAAAGATTTAACCTATGTATTCCTATGTAAAACTTTGATCACCCATTGTGGCCCCACCCGATCCCCAGGGGTCATGTTTGAACAAACTTGAATGTACACTATCTAAGAATGCTTCCATATAAATATGACCAATCATGGCTTTGCTGTTCTTGAGAAGAAGATTTTTACTATGTGTTCCTATGTAAAACTTTGATCGCCCATTGTGGCCCCATCCGACCCCTGGGGGTCATGATTTGAACAAATTTGAATGTACACTATCTGAGGATGCTACCATATAAATATGACCAATCATAGCTTTGCTGTTCTTGAGAAGAAGATTTTTAAAGATTTTTCTTATATATTCCTATGTAAAACTTTGATCGCCCATTGTGGCCCCACCCTACCCCCGGGGGTCATGATTTGAACAAACTTGAATGTACACTATCTGAGGATGCTACCATATAAATATGACCAATTATGGCTTTGCTGTTCTTGAGAAGAAGATTTTTAAAGATTTTTCCTGTATATTTCCTATGTAAAACTTTGATCGCCCATTTCGGCCCCACCCTAGCCCCGGAGGTCATGATTTGAACAAACTTGAATCTACACTACCTGAGGATGCTTCCACATAAGTTTCATGTTTTCAAGCACAGTGGTTCTTGAGAAGAAGATTTTTTAATGATGCCATTAATTTTTCACAAATTCTTAATTATCTCCCCTTGGAAGAGGGCCTGGCCCTTCATTTGAACAAACTTGAATCCCCTTTACCCAAGGATACTTTGTGGCAAGTTTGGTTGAAATTGGCCCAGTGGTTCTGGAGAAGAAGTCGAAAATGTGAAAAGTTTACAGACGGACAGACAGACAGACAGACGGACTACAGACAAAATGTGATCAGAAAAGCTCACTTGAGCCTTCGGCTCAGGTGAGCTAATAAAAATGAAAAGAAACAATTTCTACAGCAAGTATGATAAAAAGTCCACATTCTGATATCAAATCCAAATTTCTTCTGTGGAAAAAGTGTACTCTGCATTCACCCTAAAAATATTTAATTACATTATCTGTCTATTATCATTGTCTTGAATCTCCAAATGTTCCCTAGATCTACCACCAAGTAGCATAGAATTGAGAGTGATTCCAATATTAAGCCATTTCTGATCAGAGGAGTAACGATCACATTAGCATGTAATTATAATCCAGCGAGAACACCCCTGGTCCTAACTGACAGATGGTTCTAGTGTTCATTGATGACAGCACAAAATCCAACATATTACAAGATAAATAGACAGATCCCAAAAATCCTTTACACCACAGTCCTAGGGAAGGCCAAAATTTTACAGATGAAGTTCAGAAAAATTAATTTGGAAACCTTGGATAAGGTTTTTGATGATAACTCTGTTAAACAAGCAAAAACCTAAGCAAACCAAAGTATACATTTAAAGCAGGCTATATTAAACATGCCAGTCAAAATACACAAACAAATGTTGATTCAAACAACACCTTAAGCCTTTATTTCAAATATTCCCTGTCATGTTCAACCAGATTATCAAGAAATTAAATGTAAACAGGGGAAATTTTGTCCAGGTATCAACTTACTTCACTGGGGACAGGACAAGAGCCTACAATAACCAGAAGTGAAATTCTCTTACTAAACTATTCTTATATACATGTACATGGAGAATTCCTGTTTTCTGATTTTTATTCACTGAAAAATGTACATGTACTAATATGAATTTACAATATTATCCAACACCCATATTACCTCTCTTGTTTTAACATGAAAAGTAAAAGCATATACCCTTATAATGACTAAATCTAAAATAGTTTAGTAAAAGTTTTACTATTTTTTATTACATGTGTCCATCTCTTGACTTAAAATTCTGTAATGTAATTCTGTAAATAGCACAAAGAATAGCATCTCATGTTGTGCAAGTAAATAAAGGTGTGTGTGTGTGGGGAGGGGGGGGGGGGAGGGGGGTTCAGAATATCAATATTTAATAAAAGTATTTTCCCCAATACTCATTTGCTCAGAAATCAGGATCTCTTTTTTAAATGGGAAAAGGGAGAGGACTGCAGTAAGTAGTCACTAGTGGGAAAGCAAATCTATTTTGCATTTGCTGAACAATTCATTTTAAAAGTTGAGTGAATACAATTATTTTGTAATAAACTCAGCAAAACATTCATAAACAAGAAGTGTCTGACAAGACTGTAGCTCTATTGGTGTGCCCTTATAATCTTAGTATAGCCTATTTGTGTAAAATTTCAACTATAAGAGTAGTAGTTCTATAAAAGAAATTAAAGAAATTTCTATTTTTAGTAACTATGGCAACACCGTCTGTCAAAAATTTTAGTATAGTCTACTTGTGAATTAATTCTTAACAAAATTGTACCTAAACTGTAGGTCTAGGTAAGTAGCATTTTGAAAGACTTCAAAGAAATTTCTTATTTAAGTTACCATGGCAACACTGTTTGTTTAGATTAAAAACAAATAAATATAATTATGTACCTTAGTATAGTCTACTTGTGTATCAAGTCTTACTGAAATTGGACCAAAACTGGAAGGGGGGAGGTTTTTTGAAAGAATTTCAAAGAAATTTCTATTTATAGTAATCAAGGGAACATCATTTAATAAAATCAAAAACCAATAAATAGAATAATGTACCTTAATATAGTCTACTAGTGTATCAAGTCTTACTGAAATTGGACCAAAACTGGAAGGGGGGAGCTTTTTGAAAGAATTTCAAAGAAATTTCTATTTTCAGTAATCATGGAAACACCGTTTGTCAAAATCAAAAATCAAAAAATTGAATTATGTATCTTAGTCTAGTTTCTTTGTGTACCAAGTCAATAAAACTGGACCAAACTGTGGAAGGTGTAGTGTTTTGAAAAATTGTTTACTGTCGGACAAACAGCTAGAGGAACAGACGACACCTTACCAATGCACTTGTTCTTCTGGTCTCTGACCAGTAGAGCTAAAATTAGTTTATACTAAAATTCAGGCTCATGACAACTGTATGCCCAAAATATCCCTTCCAAATTTCAGCCTATTATACCTAGTGCAGGATATGAATTGGCATACAACCAGTACATGTACTAAGAAGTTGAAGATATAAGATGTTTGTGAGGCTAGTCTTTAATTAATTCAATCTGGAATATATATAACAGTCTGTTCAAAGATTTTTCCATTATTTCGAATATTTCTTAATTTTTGTTTTGGAATTTAAATTTGTTTATGAGGCTATTCCATGAAGGGAATGGCATTTAATTATCAGGTTACGACAGAAACAAAATAGCCTGGGCTTACAAGTGGCAAAAGCAGACTATCCTATTGATTTTATGGCAGTCAGTCCATGATATCAGACTAATATAAAATGTATGATGTAAGAAATTGGCAAAATAATTCAGAAAATTCTAATCATATCCATAAGATAACAATTTCTTTCCAACAAGCATGTCACACCTTGCAAATTATATTCTTAGAGTGATTACATAACAATCACTTGCTGTTTCTCAAATCCATGAAATTGGCAAGTCTGAATGGTAAAAAAGAGTCAATTCTAACCTTTCCAAACACCCAAGTCAGTAAGAAAGTTTTTTTAACAGAGTGATCACACAAGATTTTATCACAGAGGATTTAACATCTT